ATATGATTAAGTTAATTGTCTTTTTTTCTATTCGCAAATTTGCAAGTTCCGTTGTTTAGTTTCAGTTAGTTCATGTAGTGTAATTCATTTCTCGATTATATTTTTTTGGTGTGCAACTTTCTTTAGTTGGTAATGGTCCGACCAAATCAATTTACCACGAACTTGCAGTTTAGTAGTAGTTTTCGAATAATTCAAAGACGGACACATCATTTATAGTAGATTTTCTTCGGGATTAGTTTCGAAGATTACACGGAGCAAAATTGGTGGACATGAATCAGTTGACCATGAGATATTTCTTGGCCACTAACCTGAATGGTATAGGCACCCCTTTAAGCTTTACCGGTACTCGAAATCCGCCTTTATAGAATTCCTCAGAATGAGATCATGGAGATGGTACACCGGACAAACTAAAAGACATCCATAACATTTGGTAGAGTTCTGTCTTTTTCTTTCTTCACCAACTCTTGATTGTTTCTTAATAATTAAATTGATTACACAATACAATTACTTACTCTAGCTATCTTTCCTGCCAAAATTAGTAAAAAAAGGTTTTTACCATTGGCTTTTGCCAAATTGATACCAACTTTACCATATGTACATGAAATGCTCTCGCCAGCATAAGGTTTTGTAGATCAAAAAACAAACCGAGTGATTATGAACAAATTAAACAAGAGAATTTCGATAATCGTAGAAATAGACAAAGAAAGAAAAAAGATATTCAAGTTATCGCAAGCTTGTGGGATATTAAAGTTTGATCCGAGGAAGGCATAGGCGCCATTGACGGCTCCATCATCAACTCCTCTTCTTCTAACCGGTTAACAATCTCTCTCGTCAAATGCATTTCTACTAAATATGATCCCATCATTCGCCTTGGACCGTCCTTAAGTTTATGTCCTGAAATCCATATTAAAACATTGAATATGATAATTCATTTTCAATACCTTTTCTTTGGAACACAAGGGTGATTAATTATGGAAGCTTGACTAATAAATGGAGTTTGATATGTAATTAGAGTAAATAATACCTTGATCATCATAGTCGACTTGTGGAAGTGTTTTGAGAGATTGAGACCAACCAACAAGTATTGGGGTGATAATGGTGAGTAGAGCCCAGAAGAAGAAGATCATTACGTAGGCTCTTGCTTTCATTTTCTCAACAACAATTAAAACTTTTCTGATCTTTGTTTCATCTTTAATAATAAGAAAGCAGAAAATACAAAAAATGGTTTTAGAAGAAGACAACTTCTTATAACATAAACGTCGAGCTGGCCATGTTTGCATAACATTCTCAACACTTTCTTCCTTGTTTATTTTATTTTATTCTGAAAGTTTTAATAATCTAGCATGAAGTCAAGCATTTTCGATAAATTGTTAGATTATTTAAACATATAAATGGTGGTTACAATGGTGGTTGTTTGGAAATAATTTTTCTGGTCCGGTTTAATCCGCTCCATATATATTTTGCCATAGGTCCTACTGACTATTTTTTAAATCCATATTAGGTAGCTTGGATTGCAACCCAGTGATAACTACATATAGATGACATTAGTTTCGTTGAAATCATAAGGTGAACAAAGTTGACTATGAAAACATGGTTGTTCTTTGTTAATCTTAATTTTATATGATCCACTAGTTTTGAGATACAATCTTTGATAATTTTCCCGGTTTTGTTTGGTTTGGTTGAAAGTGGGTAAGCAAATGATTGAGAGACGGCAAAGTCAATGGCTCTGGTTACATGGTTCTCATCATCCAAAGGTTTTTGTAGTTGTCACCATGTCGTGGGAGTGGGACCCCACTTAATATCATTGAAAAACCAGCCAAGAAGAGCCCAACACCATGAAGTCATGTTCAGGTGCTGATCCGGAGTTAGCAGAGCTACCGTTTTACCCTTCCATTTCCTTCCCACTTTGACGACGCGGTTGGCAACAATCCACCCGATTCTCATACATGTTTAGCTCGTTCAGGATCGCTCACTTGTTACATTGTTAGGTTTGGGTCTAGCTATAACTTAAAAGCCCCCAATCGATAGAACTCTTTATCGAAAGCTAGATTGTGAGCAGAGAGGGTCCTCCAACTTATAAGCTGATCGACTATTATTCCTTCGCCTTTTTAATGTGCATCTCTAAGTGATAGTTAATCACACTTGGGATAGTTAATAACTCTCTTTCTTCAACTCGAAACCAGAAAGATGATGGACTTGCTAAAGGAACCACCCGGGCTTCCACCAGGCTTGAGCGAACCACAACAAAAGCATAARTCGAAACTGTTTTTATACAGTTTTGACATGGTCCAATATACATTGGTGTAAAAAGGTTGAGTGAGGTGCAAATGGACTGAATAGACCAGTGAGATGGGAAGTTGTGAACATATTTCAAACCAAAAGAGCAAAAATACAAGAAAGTCTCAACGGCAGCTATTAAGTTAATATGACCAAATGATTTCAACTCGAGAGGTTTTCAAAGCATAGATCTAAAATCCGCAGCCATTTGCAAAATGATTAATACGAAATCATCGAAAGTAAAATGATCCAACTAACATCGATTTAATAGTTCCAGCGTTACACACACAAGCCTTACATTTCCATTGGAGCCACGTCTTGGTCACCTTGTTCTGCTGCTGGTGGTGCAGCAGCAGCTTCCGCCTCACCCTCGCCACCCTCACCTTCCTCTTCCTCTGCCACTTTCTCAAATGTGTCAATCACTTTCTGTATTGTTTCCTGATCCAAGAAGTTGAATGGTTCACCGACCCCTAGAACAGCGACCGTGCAGAGAGAACTCTTCAGCGTTTCCCCTTGCAATGTCTCCCTAACAGCCAAAATAGCATCTTTTATCAGATCTTCTTTTGAAGAATCCCCAAAGCTCTCAAACCTGCGTTCCAGGTAAGTCTTTGCGGCTTGTGAACGGGACCCGATAGCAAAAGCTTGATACTCAAAGTAGTTTCCACTTGGGCAGTTGTAGTAAAGGTGGGCTCCAGACTCATCCAATCCACCTACCAGCAAACCCACACCATATGGCCGTTTCCATGATCGTTGGGTACAGACCTGTTCATAAGGTGAACAAAACACGAATATCCCTTTCATCAGATCAAGAAGTATCACGAAAAAACCTTGGTAAAGATAAAAAAATGATATTAGTGTGTAACTTAAGTTGGACCTCTCCAATGAAATCTTTCATACTATGAGACAAAACAAACTGATAAATATGGGAGTTCTTGCAGTGGCTTTTTAGCAAACCAGCAATTCAAAATAGGAATACAACAGCAAATGTGTTTCATACCTCAACAGAATTGAAATGTATCAAAGAAGCTTTTACGCAGTTGTAAATAGAAGAACTAACTAAGGAACCATTAATTAGATGCAAAACAGAAGTGAGATGTGGAAGCCGAATTTCTGCAGTTATGAATAGAACAACTAACTTAAGAAACCAATAATTAGACACAAAAAAATAAGTGAGACGTATCACATACTTATAAGCAAGTTGTAGAACAAAATGTAGCAAGAGTAGTGACCGACAACAAATGTGATACTAGAAGCAAGACATTCTTCTCGAATCCTATTGCTAAAGTGAATGTTTTGCAAGACATGCTCTTGATAAAAGATAAATCTTTGTATTCAAGATTATGCAGCTGTGACAACAACAACATGCAAAACAAATTTACAAATCACGAATTGAGTTTCTGGTAAGATCAATCCTACAACTCAGTATTAGCTAAACCAAGCAAACTCCTAGGTTAGCTACCTCAAGACCTTAAAAAGCTGCAAACTAAATCAGCTGTGATCACTATTATACTTGCTCTAAAGTTCCAAATCATCAAGAATTCGTAGCAAACTAATCAGTAGACAAAACCCATTTTCTGTATATCATCATAGCATCATAAGCGCAAATTCAACAAGCTAATGGGAGAATTTTAAGCTCAGTGAGTCACACAAAATCAAGTGTGATTGATTCCAAATTCCCCCAAATCTGAATCGACGATACAAGCAAAATAGGCAAGAGCAGCGAACCTGGGCTTTATCGGCGAGATGAACGACGAGACGGCCAACGGGAAGAGGAGACTCGTAGGTGAAAGCGTGATTGATTGACTCCGATCTCATATAACGAGAGAGAACACGACCATCGGCGGTAAGACCGGCGATTGCAACACCAATATGGTCATCGACTTTGAAGATCTTCCTCTGATGTGAAGAGAGCTCCGATTGGGCTTTGTTAACACAAGCGAGTACGACATGAGTGCGAGATCTGAGACCAATTGCAGCAGAGCCTTGCTTCACTGCTTCCATGGCGTATTCTACCTGGAAAAGACGACCTGTAGGGCTCCATGTCGTCACATCTGTGTCGTACTGATTCCTGAACATTTTTTATTTGCTTTCTTCTTCACTCTTAGCTTCGTCTTCAAGAGGTTTTATACAAACAAAAAGCACAGAGAAAACTTTTCTTTTCCTTCAAGCCATGGATGCTCTTCTCTCTCTCTCTTTGATTACAACTCAAGAAATGGGCTTATTACACCTTAGTGGGCTTTAAATATACGTTGGGCTTTAGTATTGGCTCATTAGCTTTCTCGGGCTGAAATTTTGGAAAATTTACTTTTGACCGAAAATTTCCCTCATTTGTTTCTACTGTAACCAAATAATTGTTTTTGGTATGTGTTAAATCGTCTACAATGAATGTGGCACTCTCTCGATACTGCGAATTATGCAGATTATTGTAATAAAATATATCGGATATTTTTAGTAGTCAATATTACCTAATACGCCATTATTTTCAAAATTCTTTGTGGTAAAACTTTTTCACCGATTGCAACATTTTGTCATCTAGTGTAGAGAAAAATGACATTTTTGTCCATTCTTCTCTTCCACACATTTGCTTTCTCTCTTTATGGAAAAATGGA